ACAGGAGTAGGTTGGACCTTATTCCTCCTGAAGTCTATCATCAACTCCTTCATCTTTGTCACGCTAATTTGCAGGTGGTCAATGGCTCACTTGGATCAGCGTGGGGAAGAGCTGAGTGCAGACATGGGTTTAATTTACTTACCTTCCCAATTGTTTTAATCAATCCATTCTTCCATCACTTAGCCAAATGAAAAAGCTGAGAACATTTGCATTAATTTCCCAACTAGATCAGATGTCACAAGGGAGAGATACAGCATTATACAAACCAAGTGGACACTCATTAAGTGTACATATTTCTAAAATGATAGAGTGTGGAAGTTAGCCCCCAACAGAGGCCCCAGGGCTTGGCAGAGTTCTCAGTGTACAGGGACTGGAGCCACGAATGCGTGACGAGTGGTATAGAGGCAGGGAGAGCTGCACATGTCCCACTTCTGCCAATTGGTGCCTTAACTGTAGTAGCCTCTATCGTAATGACTATTGTCTGATCACAGGGACATATGCCCATCAAACAACTTTAAGAGGAATTTATCTAGATGTCATATGCTTCTGATAATAAAGGTAACATTTATTATCATTTTCAGCAACAGCATAATAAAATACATGTTTCTTGGTTTAAAAAAGAAAGGTCCATCTGCAGACACAGTATGTGGTCAACAAAACCATCAAAACAATGAATGAAAAGATAAGTTCTGGCTGTGTGAAGAAACGGGATCAAGGCCCCAGAATGGAATTGCAGCTCTCTTGCTACATTTTGTTTTATAGGTTCATGTCTGGCAGTTTTTAGTTCATAAGGGAACATCAATTCAGAAGACACCGGGGCAAAAAGATTTATGTAATCACTGTAATAAAGTGAAATGATGAGGAGAAGCAAACAAATTTGTAAATGGGATTAATTATTCCCAATTACTGGGATGAAAGTAATCAAGGAAGCAAGGGAGACAGCAAAAAAGAACATGACACATTTGCTTGATCAAACCCTGCATTGCTCCTATTGGATGTTGAAATGGAATGTGAGTTATAAAAGTAGGCTCTGAAGCTTCAGAGTTATGTACATTGAATTTTCAATTTGGTATGCAATCCTGGTGGCTTTGGTTGTACATTAGTTAAATTAAAAAAGAAATATGTGCTTTCGTTTATATATTAATGCCTAAGGCCAAAACAGTCTTCCTTTGTGAAAAAGATGTTCTTGAATAAATGCTTCCTAAATAAATAATTAGAACTGTCTTCCAACATTTTTGCTGCCAGCGATTATTAGAGGAATGTATGTGCATGTGACGTATCTTGCAGGTTTATTTTTTAATTTCATGGCCTGTTGCTCCTGTTTTCTTTATTTTTAAGAGAAAAGAAAGCTTTCACCAGTGCTTGTTCACTTATTTTCTTTCTGCCATTGCTAATCAATTCATACGTCTCCTTACTTAATGGTTTGTGTAAGTCGGCTAAATGTCAGCAAAAGGGACTGACCTCTGCATGAGGTGGTGACATGGTGGGAGACATGGTGAGACATGGTGGAAGACATGGTGTGAGACATGGTGAGAGACATGGTGGGAGACATGGTGAGACATGATGAAAGACATGGTGTGAGACATGGTGAGACATGGTAAAAGACTCAGTGAGACACGTCGCTCGCCACCTCAAGTGGTGTCTGTGCCCACATCAGGGCTGACTCCAGGGCCTGTCAGAGGTAGTGCTGTAGCTGTTAAGGATCTGAGGCCATCTGAGCTCTGAGGTTTGTAGAGACATCCAAGGAAAGTGCACTGTGTTTGAACTGTGATAAAAGCTCTGACAATGCTGTCTAGATTATAGTCACAGGAGCCTCACAGGTGATTGTCACTATTTATTGCCTCACTCCTGTAAGCCTCCCAGGGAGAGAGCCTTGTTAAAGAAGTCCTACACTTCTGAAGATTTTCCTTTGCTTGTTATCACCCCGGTGTTTCTTCAGCTGTTCTTTTATGATAGTGTGCAGAAGAATTTTAATGCCGCAGTCGGTACTCACAAGCTACTGTCACAGGACACCACCTTGCAGTCTCTAATGAGGCACAGAGGCTCGGGAGGCAGAGACAGAGGATTGCTGTTACAGATGGGTAGGTATTTAGCTTGTTTTTCTTTTACCTGATTTCTCGCCCCAGAGCTGATCCAACTTTCTGCGTTTCTCAGCCTGTAGCCCACACCTATAGTCCACCTTTATATTTGACCACAGTATAGTTTTTGTCAGTCTCATTTTGCCTTACCAATTATGATGAAGACAATTGTGTGTAGAGTCAGCTCTTTGTGCTTCAAAGCTGGAGTTGCACTGGGAAAATGTTAGAGAAAGGAGACGATGACACTGAAGAGCACAGTTTTAACTGAGTGAATGCACATGAGTTGACACTACCCCTCTCCTACACCAGTCTTCACAGTGGGATGGGGCAGATTCTTGTTTTCTGAAAAGCCTGGTGAGGCTTGTGGCAGCCCAGAGTCTACCCAGGAAGTATATTAGAACTAAAATTACTATTTCATTTAAAATAATTCTAAATTCTAAACAATACTAATACTCTGATTCATATTGCAATCATTGATGTGTGATCACTTTCATTGTTACTTTAAATGAATTCCAAAAAAGTTATAATTCTTGATTTTTGGGACTTCAGTGAAAACCCTGAGACGGGCTTCTATGGCTGGTGGTTCTTATTAACTCAATCCAGACTCGTGGGCTCATGATTGGGACAGGACACCCAGGCCACCCAGGACAGGCGCCGGTTCTGAGAGCAGGAGGGCTGCATGATCTAGACGTCGCAGCTTCAGGATTGGGTCGGGTCACTAGTTGCTCCTGTCCAAGGCTACCTCTTCATTTGGGATGCTGGGATTGTCACTGTGATATTACGTAATATGATGAAAGTATTATTACAGTTTTCCCATTTTTACGCCCTTTATTGTTAAGTAATGCTTATTTCACATTCATTTACAGTAAATGGGTTTGCCTCAGGCAAACTGAGGATAACTGAATATATTAACATTATACTTTCTGTAAAAGCAAAGCAGATGAAAATGAGGAGACGTGTTACAGCACTTCCTGCATTGATCAGTTACAAACTACAGTTATAAATGGCTAAATGTGCAATGCCTCAGAACTCAATGCACCTCTGCCCTAAGCACTTCTGACTGGAACTACCATGTGTTTTTGTTCACTATCACGTACTGTTCTACATACTATCACTATTTATTATGCACCGTTTTGTGATGTGCTGTCTAAATTGCATGTTGTCCGCTGTACTGTGTTGTCCAGTGCACTGTGTTGTCAATGTAGATGTACATATGGCAACAAACTCCTTGACTTTACAGCTGGCTAACTTAAGTTAACTAGAGGTGACCGTTAATTTAAATGTTTAATTAATTTTTTCATGTAGATTCTTTAAAAACGTCAAGGACTGTGACATGCCAAAATTTTGGTTCTTTTTATTTAAATTGGGTTTTGGCTGTTGACCCTCCTTCAGGTGCTAATTGTCAGGTGTTAAGTTGCTAAAATGTTGAAGTATGAAACAATGTTGACCACCTAACATTGAAATACCTGGTTAAATCAGCTTTGAATTTGATTTCCAAAAGCATTAATGACTGACAGTATAAAGTCTAATAGGATCTGTTCATTCAGATTCTACTAGAAAGCACTGATTAAAGATTAAAGCTCAGTGTTATCTGGACTGATGCTTTTCATAATGGCAACAGTATCTAATTTCACCTGCTCACGCCAGCTGATTTCAAGCTCAGCAACAGAAAATTGCTCTGATTTCTCACAGTTCTTTTCCTCTAGAAAAAGACCTCTGTCTTGAAAAACTAACAACTCTAAGATCATATGTTAACATATGTTAAGTTCTGGGCCAGTGCTGTACTTGTTTGATTGACTGATTTTGTAAATATGATTAATTTATTCAAGGAAGGCAGAAAGGTTCACTTATCCTTAATCATGACAACAGCCTTAACCTAAACTATCTTTTTTGTTTGCTCTTCAGCATGTACAGAAGTTTTTCATCATGAATATGGCAAGCAAGAGTATTTTTCACTGACTGGTGATCTGTGCCTGCGTTCTGATCTTTTAATCCTGCCTTTTTTAAAGGTCATAAAAAGTTTGTCCTTTCATCCAGAACCTGTATCCTTAGTGTGGCACTTTAAGCTGATATATGTGTGTGCGTGAGGAGGTAAATATCTGAGTCGGGCATGGAGGAACAGAAATGAAGCATGCTATCTCAACGTAAACTTAACCTGTAGTTTCAAAACCCTAAACCCTAAACCCTAACCGATTCTGAACTATTGCGACACAACCCCCCAAAAATTGTAGAGTTTAGTCTGATTTGTGAAAGCTCCTGAAGAGGACGTGCTCATTATGTGGCTGTGCCATACTTGTGCAAATAAATATTAGATAGCTTTCTGTTCGTTCAGAACAGGAGCTCCTAAGTGCCCCTTCTTGAAGGAAGCCTACTATCCAATTTCCTTTAGGCTGCATGCCGGCACATCGGTGTGAATGAACTCCCTCCTCCTCCCTCCCTGCCTCCTATTTCAGCCTATTTCAGCCCTGGCTCCCCTGGTGGTTAATTATTCCAGCTGTGACCTCTAGTCCCACTGTTGGCCCAGATGTGGACCCTCTGTGAAGGGCTGGCAGGCAGTTTCGGAAGATCATTGTTCTGAAAGCTCACATTATTCCTACAGTTTGCTCTTCACTGGAATATTCTAGGGGTCTCCTCCTATGTGTTAGTTGCTTTGGGACAATTAAGGAAGATGCACTATAGTAGCTAAGTCTGAATAATTATTATTTATAGTGACACAGAAGTCACTGATTCAATTGCACAAGAAAAGCTATGACCTGGACCTAATGTACTTCTGCTACTAGGCTCTTCCTTTCCCTCCCACCAGTTAGCGCGATGTGCGAATGAGACTGAGCTCTGCCCCCTGAGGCGGAGCTGACATGCGTTCCTCCCAGACAGACCTGTGAGCCTTCAGCTGTACTGAAGCTCTTCCGCTGTCCTCCGCAGGGGGCGTGCGCGTGGTCCTGCTCTCAGGGAAGGACTGCCTGCGGGCGGGGGACACCTGCTCCAGCGACGACTCCTGCAGCCCCCGTCTCCGCACCTTGCGCCAGTGCGTCGCCGGCAACGGCAGCCTGAAGCTGGGCCCCGGCGCCCGCAACCAGTGTGAGAGCGCGGTGACGGCGCTGCTCTCCAGCCCCCTGCACGGCTGCAAGTGCAAGAGGGGCATGAAGAGGGAGAAGAACTGCCTGAGCATCTACTGGAGCCTGCACCAGTCCTTCCTGCACGGTGAGACGCGCCAGACAGACTGCACCACGTGCACTGCACCGAGCTCTCTCCACATGCTCCCTGAGAGCCCGGCTGTGCTCGCCTCTCACATACAGACTGAGCCTATTGATTGCATTTCGCATGAGTGCAGGGGAAAGGCCCTCTGGGTGTGGACAATTAATGGCTCATCTGTGTCTCGGCAAATCCCATTCAGCCAGGTGAACCTCTGCCTCGCTCTGTGTGCCCAGAGCCACTGCGAACCGGAGTTAGCGAGAGAGGACAGGGGAGGTTGGGGAAACACAAGCAGCAGGCAGAGAGTAGAAAGGACGTACCTTACCGTAAAACAGCCTGTAAGCTGCTTTCGGTGGATCAGAAACCTCCACTAAAAAGATGTGATGAAATTTGCCTGCCTTCAAGCCTGTTCAAACAGGTAGGTTTATACTGGAAATTCTGGAGATGGGTAGAAAGCTGAACTCAGGCTTTGCACATAAAGTGGACATTATAAACTAGCCACAATATTATAATACAATGTTAACTTTAAGGAAGCCCACCTTAAGGCTTTAAGGCCACCCTCTGTAGATAAAACTGAAAGCCTTGATTAGTTACCAGAACACACATGTAGGGGTTGCTTTCCTGTAGCAGTGGAGAGCAGAGGATTGACACAATGTAATACAATGAGCTTTTATGTAACTAGATCTCACAAATTGATCCCAGTGAGCTTAATAATGGAACATACTGTGACAGCAGTCTCTCTCTGTAGACCAGTAAGCACTAAACGAGACAATAAAGAGATGCAGCAAGTCTTCAACACAGCTTTGATGCAAAGAAGAATCATAGCTTCTTACATGCTGTGTCTTCTGCAAAGGAAATCAGAGGAGAAGCTGCTGTCAGAAAGCACAGCTATCATTCAAGGAAGTTTTCTTGGTAGATTTAAAGATAAGAATATTTAAAAATTAATTTGTTTTTCAAATGTATTTTCAGATTTTTGTTGAACATCCCATGCAAACAAACATATAAAGCACATATACTGTACATACTGTATATATATTACTGAATGAAATAATTATCTATCATATTAGACTAACAGTCAAATCGCACTTGGCAGGTGTTTTTTAAAAGGGCACATTTAAAAGTCTTGTTGTAAGTAAGTCTTCTGAGAGGTCGCATTCCAGCGGCTGTTCTATAATGATGAGCCTGTTACATCACATCTCACTACTCCCTAGTCACCTTAAAGCTTGCCAGGAAAAAATTATGTATTATAAAAAGCCCCTAGTTTTAAACCCTGTATGTATGATTGGACTCCCAATGTCTGAATGACACACCGTCTAGGAACTTAAGACAGTTGCACATTAGCTCAAAAACATTTGTGAATATGTTTTTTCTCACTTTAGGGTTCTGCAATATGGACGGTCCTGCTCAACATATGTGCAGAAGCTGCAAATTAAAGCTTGTGCTAAAAAAACCTCAGCAGTTTTAGTGAAACCTTAGAATGCAGAGGAGGATTTAGGGACTGACTGAAGGACAATCTGTAACAGGAGATGCCTTGATTTGTTTTACCCTCTCTGATTTATTTCAGGACTCAACCTGGTGGAAAGCTTTCCCTATGAGACAGTGGAGAAGGCCTTTGACTACGTCCGCCTTGCCTCCATCGCTGCTGGTGAGTACCAGGCATCTTGGAATTTCTTTGGCACAGAGACACGTTTCAAAACTGCAACTCGTAAGTTGGAGTCATGTACTTGAATTCCCTGTTAAAGATTTGCTATAACATACCATGCTAAGAGCCTAGCAGAATACAGAATGCCATGGTAAAGCATGAGAAACACATGCTGTAATATACGTTTACCATAGCCCATGTATCAAGAGATATCAGTGAGACTCCAGTGGAGCAATCCCACATCCTCTTCCCAGATCCCACCCTGTACTAAGGTGCAGAGGGCGTAGGATTTCTGTGTCACCATTTTTTCATTACAGCATCAAAATATCAATGGGGTTACAATACCAAAACTCTCTATACACTCATTGTTATTCTGAAATTCTACTTCCAACAGTTTTGTTTTAAAAGAACATTATTTTCACCTTCAAATACTTGAAGACAGTTAAAACAATAAGAAATCCATTAAAAACACGTTCATCAAAAGCTGCAATTCTCTTATCACCTTCATTTTAACTCTGAGCATTGTTTCAAAGCTAATCAGAAGTCTTCAAATAGTGCACGTAAACTGTCACCTGCATCATAGCACATTTTTATAGGTTAGTTTCTTTGCAGATTGTCTACTAGAGGCAATTTATCACACATGCGACTGCGGAATGACACATTTCTTATATATTGTAGCACAACGACGGACATTCAGGTCATACAGTGGCACCAAATGAGTGCAGTTACTCGTCACATGTACCTGAGGAAAGCATTGTCAGTGTTTCTTTTAATATGCTTATGAATCAAATAGTCAGAAATTGCTTTTCCAATTATAAAAGACTGGTCCCAGTAGCAGCACATGAATTGAAAGTGAAGCAGGTGATAGAATGTGCCATTTTATTCTGAACAAGTATTGAAGAACAGGTACCTCCCTCTTTTAAGCACTGTATGACTAATTATGTTTAAGGAAAAGAACTTTGAAAGTGGGACAATGACTTCTGCAGTAAGTTTTTCCTCACCTTATGGGTTAAAATACCCACAAGCCCCTTTCTCTCACCCACCTGGTAGGTTCTGAAGTTGGCATGACAACTGTGAACCGTTGCCTGGATGCGGCCAAGGCGTGCAACGTGGACGAGACATGCCAGAAGCTGCGCACTGAGTATGTGTCGGCCTGCATCAAGCCGTCTGCCAAGTCCGGGCCGTGCAACAGACCCAAGTGCAACAAGGCCCTGAGGAAGTTCTTTGACCGCGTGCCACCAGAGTACACACACGAGCTGCTCTTCTGCCCCTGCACGGACACTGCCTGCGCCCAGCGCCGACGCCAAACCATCGTGCCAGACTGCTCCTACGAGGGGAAAGAGAAGCCCAACTGTCTCACCCAGCTGCGCAGCTGCAAGGCAGATTATGTATGCAGGTCAGTATTCCTGCCATCTTTCTCCGTTAGGAATTCCAACTAATTCCTCCTTCACCTCGGGGCCCCTCAGTGGCGCCCCTGCAACCTCTAAACTAGAGCTTCTCTGCCAGAGCAGACAGCTTTCTCCCTCTCAGTACTGACAGAGCAACAGAGGGAGGACAGTAGGCAGCTTCCATCTCCCACCTACGAGTACTAAATGACGCATTTAATTCAAACTTTATCACCTCCTACTGGAAATTTGTTTTACAGCAGGGTCCAACACAACAATACAACAAAAACAGACAAACATCACCAACAGAGATTACAGCATAACAGTGTTGCAGGAGATAAGAGGATTAAGAGGGTATTTTACATTCTTTGAGAGTGCAATTGCAGAGGGGATGAAAGATCTTCTGGGTCTGTTACCTTTACACCTGAGGGCAGAGAGGCATCTCCTAGATGAGAATAGTGCAAATTAGTAATGTAAGAGCTGAGGCACACATTCCATAATATTCTTGGCATTTTTATGGCATTAGATAGGTACCAACACCAACTTCTGCTTGCAAAGGTAAATGTAGCGGGAGAACAAAGGCTGGGAGAGAGGAGGAGCGAGAGGCGGGAGCAGGGGACAGAAAGAGAGACCAATGAAGAGGTGTGAAGTCAGAATAGGTGTCGAGAGGTGTAAAATGAAACTTCCAATGAATGGAGAAAATTTAGAAGAAGAGTAGTCTGTCGTTAAGAGAAGGGGGAAGGTATGATCCTAGCTGCAGAATAATTTTGGTTTCTGTAGTTTTTCTATAATGTATGGGTTCAGAAAACCGTCTTTGAGAACACAGATGGAGAGATTAGAGTGGTCGTGGCCTTCAGAGGTGAAATGAGAGACAATGGGCTTGGAGAGATCTTTAATCTTCACAGCCCTAACGTTCTCTGAAGCGGTCTCCGAGTCCCCTTCCTGTTTCTCCAATGTAGATGGCTGGGCATTTACTGCAAGAGATACAGTAAATATGGTTGCTGGAGGTACAAGATGCCCTCTGGGTGATTCGGAATTGTCCTGAGGGGCCTTGAATGAGTGTGGTGTTAGATGTGTACTTGCAGGCGATACAGCAAGCTCTGTTGCAAGGGAAAGTGTCTGGTGTGGATGGTTGCTGAGGGCGGTCAAGGGAGCTGTGAACAAGGAGGTTACGCAGATTAGATGACGCAGACGCAGCCTGCGCATGCTGATGCAGATACCAACCTTAACTATCCCAACTTTTGCTTGTTCATGCAAACAGTAACAGATAGGCTTCATTATATTCAGATAGTTCAGGGTTTTTAAACACACAGAGAGAAGCTGCTGGAATCGTACCTAAACATTAAAGTAGAAGCAGGCAGAGGAGGTGATAAGTTAAGCTTGAATTGTCAGATCTCATGACAGATACACCCACTGGACCACTTAAAAAGGCCGTGGCTCCACTTTGCCAAGCAGACAAACAAATAGACAGGTATATAAAACTCACCACCAGAGGATATGTCACTCGGCTGAAGCCAAGATTATCCTTGAACACAAAAACACAGGACCAGGGAGCCTCGGGCCTAGAGTGCAGCAGAAAATAAATGTGCTGTGATGCAGGTGACAGATGTCAGAGACACATAGAGAACATAAACACAACCATTAACCTTAGTTTTCTATGCCAATATGTGGGTGTTGAACTGGAGGTCACGAGGTGAGAAGGCTGTTTTATAGATCTGGAAATTTTTTACTGACTGTATTGGTTTCCCAGGGCCAGAGACTGTTCCTGTTCACTGTTGTTATCTGCCCAGACATATTGTAGAAAGCAGAGGACAATGTTTCTAGCTCTGGCTTTGACACATTTGAGTTACCTTTGGTGCAATGTGGTGCTCTTTGTTCTCAAAGTTCCTGGATTAATTCCGGCACGTGCTCAGGTACACTTTACCAAGCAGGGGCGTGAAAAGGAGCAAGCAGACTGACTTGAAAGGTGTGACACAGGTAGTAATTTATGCAAACACACATTGTTGAATGCAGCAACGGCTTTCAATTAATTTCTAGCTAAATATCAGTGTATGATAGCATGGATAAAAACAGGTTTATGTTTTGTTCAGCTAGTAAAACCATGTTTGAGAGCTGGCATTATAGCTACTTACAAACATCCATCCATTCAGTAGCTGGTTGCCTTCTGGAAAGCTCTGGTACAACCAGGTTACATACAACTGAGCAGTCTGAAGCATGGAGATCTACAATCAATTGAAGGTGAGAACTTACGAAAATAAAACTTTTTTAAATTGTATTAATGCACTTCATTCTTGAGCACAGGAACAGGTAACAGGTTTATTCAATGCTGAAAAGAAAAGAAAGGAAAAAATGGGGCTGTGCAGCCTTCTACAGGTGTGAGAAAGACAGGGCAGACAGCAAATAACACAGAAGAACAAAAGCAGGAAAAGTGGAAGAGGAGGGAGAGGGGAGAGGCAGAGAAGCCTCTCAGGAAGTGCAAAGTGGAGAGGGGTGGAGAAAGGTGTGAAGTCAAAGCCTGCATGAGAATAGAGAAGATTACATGAAAATAAATCTGTCATTGAGAGAAGGGGGGAGGTATGAACCCAGTTTCAGGATGAGTTTCGTTTCTGTAGGCTTCTGCTATAAGGGTTGAGAAACCCTGCTCAGAGAGATTAGTGTGATCATGGCCGTCTGAGGTGAAATGAGAAACTATGGGCTTGGAGAAATCTTTAATCTTCACAGCCCTAACGTGTTCGCTGAAGCGGTCTCCTAGTCTCCTTCCGGTTTCCCCAACGTAGATGGCTGGGCATTTTTTGCTGGAGATATAGTAAACGAGGTTGCTGGAGGTACAGGATGTTGTCTGGGTGATCCAGAATTGACTTAGGGGACCTGAATGAGCGTGTTGTTAGATATGTATTTGCAGGTGATGCAGTGAGTTCTGTTGCAGGGGAAGGTGCCTGGTGGGGAAGATTGTCGAGTGCGGTCAAGGTAGCTGTGAACCAGAAGTTTACGTTGATTGGGTGGTAGGCGGTAAGATGTTATTGGGTGGTGGGAAAAAAGGGTACAGATGTAAAATGGAGTAGTTGTTAATAGTGGTCCTGGGGGTAGAAACTGTGTGTTAGGGTGGTAGGGAAGCACCAAGGGAATGCAGTTGTGAGACCGGGAGTTCCTGATCGAGTTGATGATCTGAGGGCTGTTTTTGGCCCGGGTGTGGGCCCTATCAATAACATGGGTGGGGTTTCCTCTGTTGATGAATAAAGAGTACATTTTGAGTGCTTGGTTCTGGAAATCCATGTCGTCACTGCAGAGTTGACATAGCCTGAGGAACTGTGAAAAAGGAGCACATGTCTCTCGGATGTTTAAGACTAAGCAATTTAAAAGCAGAAACATTTGAGGAACTAGGCTGTCAGGCTGCTCATCGGTATTCTGAAATGAGTTTTGGTACTTTCCTGGAGCTTCATCACTTCCTGAGGGAGTAAAACTTCCAGTTGATCGAACCCATTGACACATACAGTAGAACAGAATCTCCCACAATGCAAAAGAAGTATCTCCAGAGTTATGGAATCCTGCATAATATGCAATAAGTATAGGATTCATATGTAAATTGTGTTCATTAAAAGCAATGACAAAGCAAAGCAAGTCCTAGCCCACTGACATGAAATACCCCACAGCCCTCAAAAAAAGAGTGCAAAGCAGGGAACATTTTGAAGGCAGATAAGATATGTAAGTAGAACAAAGCTAAATGTTTCTTGTGAAGCTTGCATATTGAAGAATAAAACACTTCTGAAGATGGAAATTGATATAATTAAACATGATTTTAAAAACTCTGCTATTGCAAATGTTAGCAACTGTAAAATTGTTGTCGCAAAACTCTATGATACAAGCACTGGGACAGAACTTGTGATGATCTAAGTCTCTAGGTACCTGTCTATCTCAGCTCACTGGGGAAACTGGTGGGGGAGGCTGTGAGAAAGGAATGCAAGTGGAGAGGTGGATCCATGTTCAGACCTGAGTGTCAGTGCAGGTGTAAGAAGTAAGGTTAATCACAGAGGCTGGCAGGCAGCGCCTTTTCCCTGCGGAGACACCTATTATTCTCTGCAGTAATGTGCTGTTGCCAGTCATTGTGAATAGGGGAGGCAAAGAAATTTCTATTGAAAACACAACAAATGTTTCTGAACTTTCATGCATGTTTTTCCTCTGACAGCCCCGAGGAAGTCTGTGAGGAGGGTTATTTTAGAAACAATGTGACACACTTCCAATTCCCTGTGGAACCTGTTTTTCTTTAACTTCTTTTTTCACTTTCTTTGTAGTATTAAACTTCTGTCTTAGTGTTTCTACATTTGGGCCGCAACAGATGACTTTGTTGCTAGGTAACCCCCTGCATCCTGGCTGAACCTAGTATGTGCTTTTGTACATTCACAATCACCTTATCAGCTGATGAAACTTTGTATACCTGTTAAGTTACTGACTGGTCAGCCTTCAGAATTAAAACATTTTCTTCAAAAATGTAAAACAAAAAGATGTCAATGTCAATGTCCAAAAATTAATGGAGTCACCTTTCTAAAAGGGTTCCAAATCTACCAGAAACAGAGATTGAAAATGTTTCACATTTTCCTCAAAACTCCAGCATGATCTCTTGAAAGACTGATGGGTGAGGATTAGTCTTTTTAAATGAATGTACTGTAGGTCCTTCAATTATAAAACTAATTTCGAACTACAGAGGCACTTTAGACTGCATATGATTACCTTCATTCCCCTATCCCTTTACAAGTTAGTTAGAGTAGACAAATTAAATTAATTTGTGTGATGTCTGTACAATAACCCATAACACAGAGGATTGGTTTTAACAGGCATACAGAATTAGGATGTGTTAAATTCGATTGCTTTTGGAACTGGACCTTGTCAACACTCCTCGTTTAGTCTTATATAGTGCATTGATTTGCAGACAATATGTTGAGTTACATTCTCATTCCTTTACTGAACAAACTAAAAGACACATCAGGGCTCAGGCCAGCAGGTGCAGGAGAGAAGGTTACAGAAGGTTTGGATGTGTTGTGCAGCTGCCATGAAGAAGTTATGACAACACCATGAAAATCATGGTGCCGCAAGTGCAGAACAGTGACTTGTCTAGAGTTCTATGCACTGTAATTTACTCCAGTACACCAGAGAAACAAGCTGCTTCACCATCACTCCCATGCTATGCTACAGGACTGAATCAGCATTAGGTCACAATGATTTAATGACTCTCACAAGCTGCTGACCTCACAATAATAATTAATAATAATAGCAGTGATGATGGTAATGTACAGAGGCTAAAGGGATATTTGCTTAGACATGTGGAAATGCAGGATAGAATGAATGCTACAGGCCCTCCATGGATTACTGGATCTGTAGTGAACATGCCTGTACCTGTTAGTGGGTCAGTCCTGTTTTCCTGGCTTCTTAGAAAGAGACCAACTTGACCAGCACTGCCATTGTTAAAGGTCTGCAGGAACCTCTGACCTTGTGCCCTGGGATTGACCATGTCCATATGAAAAACAAGCGCAAGACCAAGAAACTTCCTGCTGCCTCAAGGTCCATGTTCTGCTCACAAAGGTCACAAATGAGAGCAAGCCTTTCAGCCCAACTATACCTTTTGGGAGTTAGCAGCTAATTGATCTAGGGACCTTATTCAGCTGTTTCTTGAAAATGGGTTTCAACAACAAGGCTGGGTTGCTTGTCCCAGACTCCCACAGCACTTAGGGTGAAGAACTGTCTCCGCTTCTCAGTTTTTAAATGCACTTTCACATGGTTTCCACTTGCGCCCTGTGGTGTGTGTTTCAAAACGAATTAAAACATTTTTAAAACTAAAGAAATAACGAGGGTTATTCTTATTTCTGAAGTCTCCTGCCCTGGTCTGAGCATTATGCTCCTGTACTTCTGTACTCACAGGCCCGAGCACCAGCACTTGAATCAGATTCTCAAAAATGTTAGAAGGATGACCACCTCTGTTTGTCACAGCTATTGATCCAAAAGTCTTCATCTTGGTGTTAACAATACTACGGACCTGCACACCATGGCTTTATTTTAAAAAAGAGGCTGAGCGGTGGCTCTGTGGCTAATGATCTGCAGGAAGCTAATGTGGCTGGAAGGTTGCTGGTTCAAATCCCACAGCCAGCAGAGGAATCCTACTCTGTTGAGCCCCTGAGCAAGGCCCTTAACCCCAGCTGCTCCAGAGGTGCTGTACAATGGCTGACCCTGTGCTCTGACCACAAGCTTCTCGCCCTGTCTGTGTGTCTCAGAGAGAGCAAGTTGGGGTATGTGAAAAGACAAATTCCTAATACAAGAAATTGTATATCGCCAATAAAGTGATCTAATCTAAAAGACAATCATCCACACTGCTCCACTAGAAAAGATGAAAACAACATAAGATGTACATTTACTATACTTTTATCGTTTTGGGCATCCAATGAAAAGGCAGAGAAGACACTGACATAAAATAAATAGGAACAAGTTATAGGTTTATTCCATGCTGAAAAAAAGAAGAAAGAGAACACAACGTTTCGGCTGTGGAGCCTTCTTCAGGTGTGAGAGAGACATGGCAGTAGGCAAAGGTAAAGTAACGGGAGAACAAAGGTTGGGAGGGAGGAGGAGTGAGAGGCTGGAGCAGGGGACAGAAAGAGAGGCCAATCAAGAGGTGTGAAGTCAGAATGGGTGCAGAGAGGTGTGAAATGAAACTTCCAATGAATGGATAAAATTTAAAAGAACAGTAGTCTGTTGTTAAGGGAAGGGAGAATGTGTGATCCTAGCTGCAGAATAATTTTAGTTTCGGTGGTCTTTCTGATGTATGAGTTCGGAAAACCATCTTTGAGAACACAGACGGAGAGATTAGAGTGGTCGTGGCCGTCAGAGGTGAAATGGGAAACAATGGGCTTGGAGAGATCTTTAATCTTCACAGCCCTGACGTGTTCTCTGAAGCGGTCTCCGAGTCTCCTTCCTGTTTCTCCAATGTAGATGGCTGGGCATTTACTGCAAGAGATACAGTAAATAAGGTTGCTGGAGGTACAAGATGCTGTCTGGGTGATCCGGAATTGTCCTGAGGGGCCTTGAATGAGTGTGGTGGTGGCTGTGTACTTGCGGCAGGGGATACAGGGAGCTCTGTTGCAAGGGAAAGTGCCTGGTGTGGATGGTTGTTGACGGCGGTCAAGGGAGCTGTGAACAAGGAGGTTACGCAGATTAGGTGGTCGGCGATATGAGATGGTAGGGCAATCAGAAAAGAGGGCCCCAATGGAGGGATCATCCTGTAGGATGGAAAAGTTGTGGTTAATGTTCCTGGGAATAGGAAGTGTGTTAGGGTGGTAAGGAAGCACCAAAGGAATCCGGTTGTTACGGCGGGAGTTCCTGCTCGGGTTGATGGTCCGGGGGGTGTTTTGTGAACAACACAACACCAAAAATAAAATAAATAGACCAATGTTCACAAGCTGCAAGTTATTATGACTTGTTATTACAGTGGGGTGATGATATTTTCAACAGACCAGGGCTGCTCCCTGTGTGTTCCTTCAATCACGCATTTGTTTGGAAGTGACAGCTTCCTCACAGAGCTGCAGCCATGAGTGGGCTGCACATGGCAGAACCTGCCTGAATGGGAGTCACTGTGCAGGTTCATTCATGACCATTGACTGTGATGGTGAGGCCTGTGGCCAAGTGTTGTTAATGACAGATAATGTGTTACTGCTCCCACAGGTCCAGGTGGGCACAGTTCCAGTACGACTGCCAGCCGTCCCCACAATCTACCAAGGGCTGCAAGCAGGAGAGCTACGGGGCCTGTCTTCTGTCTTACACAGGCCTTATAGGTAAGACTCAGCCCACAGCACAAACTTCACCTTTAAGTGCACTTTCAAAACCTTTGTTATTTTGGCATTGCATTGTTTTAAACTTTAGATTCTGGAAAATCAATGGGAGGAAAGGGCACAATTGTGACCGCAACACCAAATATCACAAAGTCAGTGGAGTGTGGGATCCCAATTTCTCTTCACAAAATGCCATCGCCTAGGCTTGTGTGAAATATGTATTTGGTGTACTTTCTTTAACAAAAAGTGGTTTGACCTCAGCCATGTTCGCACAGCAGTGCAGCAGATTAAAGTTCCTTTACTTCTAGGAAGATTTAAACAACATTTTAACAGACCCCCAAAATATTTGTAATTACAATATTATTACCAGATTCTGCATGCATAAGTCCATACCTATTATATGTAGACCTGCAAACACTGAACTGACTGATATACTGATTTTCCAATGACTAAAAAATATCAGGTTATGGGTTTTGTACTAATGGTAAATCTTAGTTTGCAAAGGAACAAGTAAAGGGTTTATTCCATGCTGAAAGGAGAAGAAAAAAACATAACGTTCCAGCTGTGAAGCCTTATTCGGGTGTGAGCTAATATCTAAGCTTGTACATCTACTTGATCTTACCTGCAGAAGGTGTGATCTCGATCAGATATCCCAGCCCACACTTACCATAGAAAAACAAGTTAGTACCTGAGGAGTTTCTAGGGGGTTTACAATGATATTTAAATTGGCAGCCGGCAACGAAAGGAGTCTTTACTAGAGTAAAGTCACAACGTTCCCTAATACTGCTTCCAGGAATGTCTTCATTCTATCCTTAACCCCTGGTTTATCATTAATACTGGTGTACTTGATGGTACACCAGTTGGCAATAATACTACAGTTCTGTGTGCATGATATCGTAACATGTTTCTGTCTTCCAGGCAGCACCATTACTCCCAACTACGTGGACAACTTCACTTCCAATGTGGCTCCCTTCTGCACCTGCTCCACCAGCGGCAACCAGCGAGAGCAGTGCAACGAGTTCCTCAGCTCCTTCACTGACAACAGCTGCCTCCGTGAGTGAGCTAAGCCCTCACTGTGGCTGGGCTGTCTCATCATCCCCTCCTCTCTGCTCAAGCTTCTGTTGCAATTTCTGCTTGGCAAAAGTTTAGGCACTCTGTGTCAGCCCAGTGTCTGAAAAAAATTAAAAGTGGGAAAATAAGTGGGACACTGAGCTGAACAGCGACACATATTTTCACCCGCTAGTGCTAGAACAGTGGGCAAGTAAGGCCAAAGCCATTCAAAACACAACAGGAAGGGAGCAAGATAACCTGATGTAGACGGGAATGTGGAAGACCAAGTGTTACGACCCCAAGTGTCTAGGGGTAAAGGGGTGTAACATTTAGGATAATTCTTTTGGAAGCAGGGGGGGTTTGGTGGGGGACTAGGAAGCGTGATAAAAAGGGTAAGGAACTAGAGTGGTGCCAAAGGAAAGAAAATAACAAACAAAATGGAGCTGGCTAGGACAGTGAGGGAAAGCTAATCTGACTACAAATGAAAACCCGAAACACACGATCTTCAGCGTCTTCAACACCCTAGCTAACCTGCACTGACTACCCAAAACCATACAAGACAAATGGCACTCACCCGTACTAAACTAGTGTACTAATACAAAGTCAACTACTGTAAGTGTGTAAAGTGTACCCAACAACCTAAACTAACCTTATATACAAAAGTTCACACAAAAACACAAATGAACCAGGAAAACAAATAAGGGAAAACAAGAGTAATCAACAGGAGCAGGGTACAAAAGAACACAAAAGTTGAACATGTAACACTGGGGCAAGGTAATTACAAAACAAGGATAAACACACAAACAAACGAAAGTACAAAGAAACTAACAGAAAACCAACAAAACAACAAAGCCGAAGCTATACGAAAATACACACACACAAAGCAAAACAAACCAACAAACGAAGCCGAAGCAATAACCAGAAGTGAAGCGATAACCAAAACCAAACAGGACCGAAGTCAAACGAAAGGCCTCCTCTTCCTGAAAGCCTCCATGTTAAATAGTGAATAAGATGTGTTCTGATTGGCTGAGAGCTAATTAATGATGACATCATACTGAAACAGTGCAGTGATGGTGGGCCAATGGGGAAGAGAGAACAATCAAGGGTCAGCAGTGTGGAACATAGAAAAAACACACACAGAACACACACTGGGACGTAACACCAAGGTATAAGAGAAAAACGGTGGCAAGGCAATGTACAATACTCTGTAAACCTTCTTCTTCCAGGTCTGTCAGGAATGGCCTTTAAAGTCTCCTGACTTTCCTCCAAGGAGAAAAATATTTTTCCAGAAAAAAATTCCAATGGCTGCACAGTAGCCCAACTAACAGACCTGCAAACAGAAAATATAGGGTTTGGTAATGTGTTGAAAATGTAAAAAACAGTTTAAGAAGTACTTACTGGTTGCATGAATTATGGCATCATTGTGGGAAATCAAAGGTAATGAGAATGGTTTTGCTACAATAAATAAACAGAGAACAGCATTAGGATTATACATGTGACAATGGTTGTGTTCTCCGACAAAACTCTCTTTACGAGCTCAGAGTGAGTGAATAATGTACCATAAAATCTGATATACCACACACATTTTGGCTGGTGTGTAAATTCCCTTAAGAAAAGCAACACAATCAGATTGTCTTGACCTTTCATGGTACTAATGGGCTTCTATCTCACATTATTTTGCCTTCCTGGTCTTTTGCAGGAAACTCCAATAAACACACATTCAGCAAATGAGGAAGCAAATAAAGAGAAATATATGGCCCTAAACTCCTGATAACTCCGTGTTTTCTGTGAATTAAGATAAGAATGTAGAAATGAAAAAAAAATACATTCATGCCTCATCACCCTGGCATTCATTGGCATTGCTGGGATTCAGCTAAGATTTAAACTGCCTCCTGTTCATATCACTAAGCTAAGCCTTTCTCAGTGACAGCATATATCTCTGCCCCATTTGCTGATACGGGAATTCAAATGTTCTTCAATGGCTTTATAATTGAGGATAATTTAATTTTCCATATCAGTTAACGGAGCTGAGACATTGCAGTGGGAAAAGACAAACCTTAGCGGAGTAAAGGGAATGAAATTCAGACAAAAAAATTGCAGCTGAGGTTCAAACAGTGACAACACAAACATCATCAATATACTGTAATATTCAAAATAAGAAAGAGATTAGACATATTCTGACTTGACACAGTGTAAAGCCATTGCATACTGTAAAAAAACAGATAATACAGCTTCTCATTTTTGAATACACTCAAAGGTCTAATTCTTAGCCAATAATTTGCATGAATAGTTTATCTCTCTGTTGTCTTGGCTGTTTTTCTAGTTATACACTAAATATCTCTGTATGATCATGCTTCCTGAAACATAAAATTGCAGTCATTTAAGTGTTTATTGATTTGCAAAAGTATCAAGGTGGGGTTGCATCCTTTTCTTCTAATCAAGACAAAGAGGCTGCTTAAAAAGCAGAAGTAAGGTGTTTTGTTTTTTTTTACTTGAAAATAAGTACCCTACCTGTAAATAAATTAAATTAAAAAAATAAAAGAATAAAAAACACATTTCAACCAGAGGGGACAAATTCTCACCACCCCTCCTCATTCTCTAATTGTATTTCTTCTTTCCTTCATCTCCCCCAATGCCTGAAGAGGCTCCACAGCCAAAACACTGTTTATTCTTCTTTCTTTTCACTTTTCACCCTGATAATAGCCTCTGCTTGTTTCTCTGCAGCTTGCATGCTGACGCAGCTCCCCACACAAATCTCGACATACATACAATTTTCCTCCATGTCACGCATCACAGACTGATTGATCTTTGCGCTACTACACAGGAATATGCCTTCCAATCACCCTTGTGATTCCTGCTTAAAATAAATGTGTCTGGCACTGTCTTGGACTGAAATAACAGTTTTATTCATTTCATCCCCTGTTTCGAATGGGGGAAGCTGCAGGAAAATAGCATATACTGTATAGTATATTTGACAAAGTGAATTGCTCAGACATTCACTCATACCTGTCAGTGAGCATTCCTCAGAGAGGCTGTTGAAGGCACTTCACAGTGATGGTAAGGGCTGAAACAAAGCAATGCTGTGCTCTCCTCAGGCTTTTGTCGCTATCCCAGGTTCCCAGGGAATAGGAACAGGCTTCTGATCTGTGTTTGTCAGGACATTCACAGTATAACAAACATGCGTCTCTAGTGTAGTTAAATAGACACCACTGTAGCTCATCTCTGCTTTGACATCATCCATTTGATTAAAATGGGTCTCACTCCAGATCAAAATAACCCCCCAAAGGTTGCAGTTTGATGGACAAAAAGCACCTTTTTTCTGCTAATTTGCATACTCATTATATAAACATCTGTGAAGCTTCTTTGACAAGTAAGCAGGCAAAACAGAACCGAGAGTGGGGTGAATTTGTATACGTTGCTGAAATTAATCATACTTACTGTTCCATGCATTACAGAAGAACAGCACACTGGAGTATTGGTTAGGGTTCTGGATGTGTAACTGGAAAATTGCGGTTACAAATCCCAGGTTATATTGTACTGCTATTGTGCCATTTAATAAGGTACTTTAACCAAATTGCTCCAGTAAAATTCCAATCTGTATAAATTGTTCCAGACATAAAGTGCCTTACATAGAAACATCAATCAAATAAATTACTGGGTGTACTGTAGTAATGTATACAGTGCTTGGAAATCTAAAATAGCAGCTGTTATTATTAACTTCTGCACTATCTTTTCATATTCATCTTGGCCTTGACCCAACATTAAAGAAAAACACTTCTGGCTTTTAACAGATCATTAGACAACATCAGTGGAAGTCAGCTCTAATGCTCAGATGCGGCATGTAATTTCTTGAAATAAGCTGAACGCTGGAGATCTCATTGTTCCTTGTGGACTAACTCCTGTCGACCCCTTAAAATAGGGGTTGAAGCACGTCACTCTGATTGTTGGAATGTGTGATTATAAAACAAAAAAACAACTCTTTCTAAAATTATTCATTACCTTCTCAATCTTCTGTTGGAGGTTTCCATATGTAAACCAAATTTCCACTTGGTTAGGCTAGTTTAATATGGGAAGCCTAACCTATCAAAGTAGATCCGCCATGCCAGTAGCTGGTGCCCACTAACAGTCACAATGTCACAGCCCAACGTGTTGCATTATTAAAAAGAGAAATTCATCCCAAATGATCTCCAATCACTTCACATGTAGCAGTGGACCCACTTCACTCACTACTGAAGTGCAGCCCCACAAGGGTGTCACACAGCAGCCATTCTGCACGGCAGAGCAGGTAGAGAAGTGAAAACTTGACTCATCAGATGAGTTAAATGGGAACTTTAGGAAATGCTAGAGGTTCAACCCTTGAGAGGAAGTATTCCACTAATCCTCACCAGCTATTCTGCAGGTTCCTGCTTTAAAGAGGACATTCTTTGTTGTGCCACTGCCACTGCACACAAGTATACAGGCCAAAGGCTCCTCCAGACAGCGGGGTCCCTCTAAAACCCATCTCTCAAGGGCCATGGGCCCAGGGGCAGACTGGGGAGCTACCATATAAGCAGAAACAATAGGAGCTGGATGTACCACAAAATTGTTTTCTATGACTTTGCTGATACAGAACTTTCCTGATTTTGACTCATTACTTGGATTCCATTCGATATCTTAAATGCCAGTTTGTTTTCTTAGGGAATTAACTGGGTGCCTTTACATACAGTATACATGATTTACAGACTTCTAAGACTATTTCTTTGTATCACCTGTTTGTCTTTAAATTGTGCCCTTTTATGGCAGGTCACAATTATCAGTTTCTCCGTTGTTAATTGCCTTGATCTTTATATTTAAATGACATGTAACAAGAGTGTTAAATCTCAGATAGAAAAACCCATTTTACACTGACAGTAAAGCTTTGTTTGAGCTATTAATTAAGAAGGTGTAAACTTCAAGTTAGCAGGTACCGTTGATTTGCTTAAGAAGCAGAAATAGTGTGACAATGTTAAAATTATATCTCTGTAGGCAGCAATGAGGATCTCAAACATGAGCCCCGAAACCTGAAATTTCTGCTTATCAACATGAGCATTCAGAAATGAAAGAGAAAAATTTAGATACATTTTTATTGGACCAACAATAAACCAACAAATAATCTGCTTTCAATGTCCAAAATACAAAGACAGTGAAAAAAACACTTTTGTGTCTTTATTGGAACAGGAAATGCCATTTTAGCTTTCGTCAATGGGACGGACCTGAATGCATCACCTAATCAATCAGCACAGCCCAGCCCTGCAGGAGACAAGGGAGGTGCTGCCATCACGCCCTCCGTTCCCACAGAAACAGAAGAGAACCTCCTGAACCAGCTGATTCCTACCCAGGTAAGTGGTAGTGATATAATGAGGGGAAAGCTCTCTGCACAGGGTCCTGCCACTTAGTGTATTGAACCGTTCAGGCGTTTCCTTAGCCATCCAGCAGGTCAGAGTTTAGAAATTGGATAATTAAAAATAATATAATTATAATAAAGCATATTTAGGCAGATTCGGGTTATAGCATGTTTTGTCTAAGACACTGTTTACTGGAATATATGGATTTTAGTGATCTGTAGTATGCATGATCATAAATCATTCTGTTACTGAAATACAGGTATCTAAATGTCTCAGACAATGAAGTTAATGTTGCACAGAACATTTTTGCACAGATTTAGCACAGGTTGCCTTGGAACATAGCTTCATAGTTGGCGAGGAAAGTAGCATCACTGTCCACAAAGAACATACAGGAGCATCACAATTAGCTAGAACCATAGCATCACAGTTGTGGAGGACGATGGTATCGCAGTCGACTAGGAACATAGCAACACAGTAGGTGAAAAACATAGCATTACTGCCAGCAAGGAAAGCAGTGTTAAAGGCAGCTCGGACCATAGCATCACTGTCAAGGAAAAACATAGCATCACAGTCGGCTAGGACCATAGCATCACAGTCGGCTAGGACCATAGCATCACAGCTGGTGAAGAAAATAGCATCATAGTTGGCAAGGAACATAGTAGCACAGCATCTTGAACCTGGGCTCTTGTCAAATGGATGTGCATTGCAGGCTATTAAAGATAAGTGGAATTTAGTTGATCGAGGTTTCCAACCCCTGGTTCTGTCAGATGTCTGTGAGCTCGCAGTGAATGAATCATTCATGTTCAAATTTCAGAGGAAAGTGCACTGGGGCAGGTGCTATAGCAGTGAGTGGAGCTCATTGTCATAGTCATAGTCTGTGTATTATTATGGTATTAGGGCAAGACAGGAGAAAAGATTTTGTCCTGAGAGCCTCGATTCTTATTGAGCAGTCAGAAAGAAACTTCTAATACAGAACCTTCCAAAGGGTCCTGTGCAGCTGAAGGTAGTGTTTACAAATCATTTACTACCCCGGGCAAAGAACTTTGTTGTATGATTTAAGTCAAAGGATGCTGTTACTTTAAAGAATCTGCACCAATAGTACTGATTTGCTTTAACGTTGTTTCATTTGTACTGTAAGTCTGCAGACTATAAGATCTTAGTTGATTTAGATGAGCTCTGCATGGAAACTCACATCTCTTCACAAATACAGTATAGCATGTGTGCTGTCTTAGGTTCATATCTAAACACACTTCAGTCTAAACATGCATCTAGGGCCAAACAGAACTAGATGCATTCCCCAAAGTTTCCATTGAAAAATGATCATTATTGATCGAAAGCAATGCATTTGCAGTGCACAAGACTGCACAAAATTGTGACACAAAAACCCCAGATGTGTAGGCAAACATACCATAAGAGTACATCTCTATAAACTAACATTTAACAGCTATAGTAATTACTTTATTATATTTATAAAAATGATGATATAATTAGGGAAGTGTGATGCATTCTAACTCAACAGAAATTCAAAACCATCAATTAGAAAAAAATGTGACAATGTTGAAAATGAAAAGGTTTCAAACTGCATGTAGGAGTGTGAAATCACAAAGTGCCACAACATTGTTGGCATGTTTACCCCCAGCGTGTCACAGACTGAAATAATGAAGGAAAGTGCCAGACAAATTAATTTTTCAAGGCTCCTGACAAGTACTATAGCATAGGATTGTTTGTACAGCTCATGCTATGTGTCTATCACACGTTTCTGTTTTGTCTTCCTCCAGATGACATTATAATTCTGTAAAACTTGTAGAAAACTTCTCTATGTCCTGAGGGGACAAGCGGATGATGTAAAAATGCCTTGATAGTATGTAAGGAACTTAGTGCTCCGACAAAATAATCCAGGTGGATTGTTGATGTTGTAATAAAGAGTTATGACAGCAAATATCAGGCCTTGCAGGAAATATGGCAACTTATGAAATATCGTTCCTCAGTGAAGTGCTGCTGAAACACAAGTTTGGAATAAAGCTTGCTAGGCTCACTGAATTGGGGAACGGCAGGAGAAACATCTGCCTGCTGAGCGGAGCAAGTCCTCAGTCCTGCAGCCCACAGCGAGGAGAACAAATTGACAGAGAGCTGCTGGCCCTGGCTGCATTACAAAGGGAGTATCAAAATGCATTCCTGGAAGATTGCAGCCGCCTCTTGCTTTTTTGCTGCGGTTATTTATTTAATTGGGCTACGTCCACCCTTCTGACTTTGTGCTGGTGGGGTAGGTTGTGTGGACAGTGCAGGAGAGGACGTTGTGAGGCTGCAGGCGGGCAGTTGTTAATCCATGGTGTCTTTCTCCCAGGCCACAGAGAAGGGGAAGCTGTGGAGCGAGTCGACAGGCCCCTCCCCAGGCCTCTCCAGCCAGGCCCCAGTTTCTGCTTGCCACAGTGTCTGGATGGGCCCACTGCTTGCACTCCTCCTGTATTGGCACCATTAGAGCACAATCTGGCTGCGTGGGACTCTACTATGGAACTGGGGGGCTGGGATTGGGGTGGGGGGGGCAACTATTCTTATTGCTCCCAGATTACAGTTAACTCTTTTTGTTATCTTTTGTCTCAGAGGGTAAATTGCCCCTGGGAGTCCTTGGCAGGGAAAGAGTAGGCTGTTTATAGCTGATCCATGTGTACCCGAAGGCGCCTGCTGTTGGTGCACCGAGGACACCAAGCTGCCTGTCTCCAGATGTCTTCTTTGCTGTTGTGCAGTGTGTAAACGGGGGGAGGGGGGCTGTAGGAAGGCAGCCGGAGCTGCGGTGCTCTGACATCTTGTTTGTTACTCCTGGGAGGACTGACTTTGTACCAAGATCACTCCTTCAGTAAAGCAAGCAACTACTTTTGAAAGAGACACTGAAAAAAGACCGTATCAAACATGGATTTACAATGATAATCCTATTTTTAGTCATTCTGGGAAAGATATTTTATTGAGTCATGAAACCTCAACAGTAATTAACTGCCTGGATACTTTTTTAAATTACAAAATAAAATCGATACCTTACATGTTTATTATATTTATTGTGTCTCAACGGAAATGAAGTTGTGAGATGCCAATGAAGAAACAAGGACTGTGCAGTGGGTGAGCTGTTTACTGCAGAATTTATGGCCATGTGCATCAGAGGGGACTTACAGAGGCTCCATGCTTGACCATCATAGATGCTATGGACAGTATGTACAGTACACAGCCTTCACTAGTGTGGCAAGGCAGGGCTCTGAGTCTGATGCCTGTACCCTTTTTTCCTTTCTGTCACCTACTCAGTCTTAGCAGTCATGAGTTTCTGGCCTCCTTAAGACTTTTCCCTGTTCTGGGACAGCTGGGCTCACCTGCTCCCGGAGCAGCCAGGAAAGACTTTTTCCCACTTCTGTTTTGAGCAAAGCAAAGGATAGCATAGTGTCTGGACCAGCGCCTTGGCAGAGAGCAGGCAGCGTGTGACTGCCCACGCTGCCCCATGAGGAGCAGCAGCCTGGCGGGGGTGCTGTCTTTGCTTCAACAGGAGAGCTCAGTCACAAGAAACACATGCTTGTGGGTTTCGTTTTATCAAGATACATGTCATTGCTGCAAATAAAAGCTACCAGATGATTCAATTTGTGGTGTTCTTCATTTTTGCTTTGCATGTCAAATGAAACCAATGAATTATTAAGGAAACAATCTGCAGGGCCATCCATCTTTCACACCTCTTACGTGCTTTATATTGGCTATCCCATCCAGCCAGGATGGTGAGCTCTGGTCCTTAGGAACTCCAGATGCCTCAGGTCATAGCAAGTGATGGTGTGACTAGTTTTCCCTGTAGAAGTCTTACAATATGTATAAAACATTCAGGTCTGTCTGTATGACTGCCACTGCTTAGATTGTGTGATTCTCACTGACGTGAAAAAGATGGAAAACCTATCACATCCAGATAGGTTCTTATACTATTTTTTCTTAATTTTCCTAATTCTCTGGGTCATTATTCACCTTGGTCTTCATTTGCAGTTCAGTTCCAGTTAACATCACTACTGGGCGCACATAGCCATCCCTGGGCTCTTTCATCTCAGACAAAATGCACAGCTTTTTTAAATACAAAATTTTCATTGTAATAGACTTTCATTGTAATAGATTTTCATTGTGATCACAAGCTCGCAAAGGATTAGTCTCCCAAGAGGTGGGGTAGTCACATACTCTCTGTCAGCTATCACTGCAGAAACTGAGACATTCTCCAGCCTGATGGGCATCTACACTGATGTGAGAATTTCACCAAGATAATAATATGTTAAAATCCCTATACAAAATATATAACCATATAACTCATTAATTCTTAACCAGGACTTGATAATTCCAGTACAATTGCACCTTGGTATAGTATACTCTAAACTGATATGTTAATGTTGAAGAGTTTGTAATGTTGCCATTAATGATGTAGTAGTGTGGTTGTGTGTAGTCAAGTATTGTAATCAGGAGCAACTCATCTAGAATTGCCAAAGCAACAAAAAGTCAGTCAAATGCATGATTGCCCTCCAATTTTAACTGTGCTGCGGTGTGGTTTTCTCAATAATGTTTATGGGTCGCAGCATGTTCAAAGCAGAATGCCATTCAGTGCTAATCAGGACATACAGAAAAGGTCAAATAAAGTGACAGCAGTGTGTATACAGTAAACAGCTTCACTGCACAGTCTTCTTCTGCCACCAGCATCTGCTGTGTGGGAATCATGTTTGTGATATTTCTAAAGATTATGAAAAATGTGATAAAAAAGTATGTAAGGTTAGGACAATTAAAAAACCAAGCACAGAAAAGAAAATTCATGACTTCATGTGAAATCAGCCTTTGTCTCCTTCTTTCTGTCCTTTCAATGAGACATTAACCCAAGGTCCTGTACCTATATTCACTCTAGGTATGTAAACTCTGGCCACGCTAAAGCTCACTCTCCAGTGGTGAAACAATTTCTTACAAATCTGCTGTGGGGTTACTATTTGTCATTGCTGCTGTCATTACAGGTGGAGCTGCACTTTCGTGGCAAATAAAGCAGATCACCTCCTTTATTTAAAACACTTTTTTGAATCCATTAAAATTGACATTGCTTTTTGAAGGAAAAAATACACTCCCCATGTCCTCTTTTATGACTTGTGACCATAAATAAGATCAAATTCTGATTTTACAATAATGTTTTTTTTCTCGTTTTATTGCTTGTGATGAGTAACCATGGCCTTATTAAACTGACCTACTTTTTTCCTTAAACATTTTATTTTGTTAACAAGCATCTTTAAAAAATAAAAAATAACCATCACAGTTTGAGAGGGACTGCTGTTATTAAAGAGCATGGTGCTCTCCAGGAGTCCTGGACAGCTGGAGCTGAGACTCACAGCAGGGCTGAAACTTCTAAACCAGGGAAGTGTCTCCAAAGTCACAGTAAGGTGTAGAGATGTACTGTACACTTGAAAATGAGTTACTGTACCCGATTCATGTTTGACAGCCTCAGCACATTCATGAGGATGTATGGACTCTCCTGGAGTCCTGGAAGAGGATGAGAGGAATGGTCTTCAGTGTGGGCTCTGGACTGCTCTGAGGATTGAGGAAAGGTAATGGAGTGCATCGCTGGAGAACGAGAAATAGACGGAAATTCAGTAAGAATCAGTAAGGTAAAAACATGCCCTCTAAAGATGTTCTAAGATATGAGTGTTGTTCTTCATACTTCTGGGCCACTCTAAGAAGCTGAATTTCCACAGTGTTCGAGCGTTGCACTTAAATGCAGGCACAAAAAACCAAGGAGTTTACCTCAAATGCATAATCCTGCTCCAAAACCTCATCTCTGAAAGACATCAAAGTGTACAAGGCTTATTCATGCATATACTGCTTTCTGACAGTAATGCTTTCTCAGAGCTGACAGCATGAATGACTGCTGCCTACGCAGATTAAGACTAATTTCCTGAATGCTTATTTGTAAAAGTGCTTGAGTATTTCTGTAGATCTGGGGAAAGGGACAAAATGTTTATGACAGCCTGCAGGCTGAGACTTCCAGGTGCAGCCTGAGTAACAAAACCTTGCTTCCCATTTTTATAAACAAACTGCACATAAGAGTGTAGGTGAAGCTTGCTCTGCAAAGCGTTACAAACAGAAAAAAAGAAGAACATACTTCTGAGGTTTTGAAATTAAATGTTTTCCAACAAATATTTGTACCATCTTTATGCTATTTCAAGGTGGGTAGGAACATTCAATTAAACTGGCTCATCCTGTGTGCATTCCAGTCTGCATAAATACCATGGCAACCTATGGCCAGTACCTTCTTCCAATACCAGTACTAGGCCAGCTGTCTACTGCACATGTGAATTTCCCTAACTGGTGATCTGTGGGTTTGAGTTCCTGCTGCAGACACTGCTATAATACCTTGGTTGAGGACAGGCCACCCACATGTCAGAACATGGCTGTTGATTGCTTATAATAAGACACATTTACTGACTCCACTAGTGCTATATCCAGCTACATGAGGTCAGTGGTTAACTTGAAACAAATTATAGATCTGTCAGAATCACAAAGCAGGGTCAGAAAATTGCCTCAGTGTGGGCCAGCCTGCACTTCCTGGAGCTGGTGATCCAGTACTTCTATCATTCAGCTGTGACCTCTAACCTGGTTCCTCTTTGCTTCTTCTCCTGACTTTGCTCCTCATGCATATTCCATTTGGATGTCTTCAGTTTTCGCTCCCCGTCCTTTATACTTAAATGTTTCTGAATATTTTTATGGACCCTGTTGTCCACCTCATTCGGATGTAATCCATACAGATTGGACAGCTGTCCTTTGCCATGATAAGGCCCAGCAGCCCAGAAAGCTGAAGTCTTCTTCTGCACATCTTGTCTTCAGCTGTGTGCTGTATTGACTGTTTAACTCGAGACATTGTTTTCCTTTGCCTGGTGCTGGTAGGATTGCTGAGAAGACCACTGCTTTGGTGCAGTTCTTTAGTTCATTTAAAACGTGTTTGAATTTGTAATAGATGGAAAGTGTGCTGTTTAGACCAATGTTGTTTGTGCCTGTATGGACAACAACTGTTTTCACCTGCCTTAGCTGATAGCCTGAATATTCTGCGGAAAATATCAACCTCTTCATCTACAGGAAGACAGGAAGGTGTTGTTGTCTGATACCTGATGAAAAGTTCAGTTACAGTGGTCTGGAGGATAGAGTCTCCAATTACCACAACATCTGGAAGTTGAGTGTAGTGTATGAATTTGAATTAGTTTCAGTGTGCAGACACACAAAGGTCTTGAAAAGCTCTGTAATATCAACTCCATAACCACAAATTAGTTCATGCAATAATTGCTTCCATTTATTTTTCAGGATGGATTGTTTACTGAATTATTAATGAGCAGTACAGAGCGAAAGCTGCTAAGGCTGATTGCTCTTCCAGTGTTCTTTATGTTAAACAGTACAGGATACAGAAACATAGATGAGCTGCTGAGGAGTGTGACATGAGTGAACTCATAAACCATTAGTGAATGAAACTGTATTTATTCTTTTCAATTGAACTGAATATGGAACTTCTAAAGACATTTTGCATGAAGGTACAAACCACAGCAAAGCAGAAACTTTAAAATGTCAGAATTCACAAGAAGATTAAATCTTCTCATGCAGATCACAAAAGCACTAATGCCAATGTCCAGCTGGTTTACCAAATTGAGTACTGTAACCAAAGTTGGCAGATTACAGAATAATCAACTAAAGTTACTGTCTTTAAATTGGATGAAATAGGAGGGTCAAGACTTCCAGTGTGGAGTGCTGTACACCCAATGATCTGTCCCCAAGGTGCAGTTCTCTTAGGCAAATTAGTTGTTATCATTATGTATCAGAATTAGATCATACAATTCCAGTACATCACCCAGGTAAATGTGACAGAGATATGATAACTGATAGAAAATGATAACTGACATAAATCAAACTTTATTAACAATCAGACAAATCTCCTTTACAGGTTTTCAAAATAATATTAATCTTCCAAAATATTGTATATTTGTCTCACAATTCTGCTTTAAATTAGCTGCTTTCAATTTTCCAAAATCTAAATCTTTAAGTGTTCAGGAGAAAAAATGGAAATCCTTACTGCAGAAGGCACTGAAGAAATGAATTTCTCCTTGCAGCCCCTTTTTTAAGAGCAAACAGGGCAACTGTGGGCTATTTAAAGGTATAACAGCCACTTTAATGGAAATCTTGAGAAGCAAAAGGAACATGACTCTGTTAATATCACAATGAAATCAGCTGAAATCTAAACATGGCATTAGTTGACTCTGTAGCAAACTGAGACCCTCCAAGAGGAGGGTAATTGTAATATTGGGTGAAGATAGGCTGCTGATGTAGATTCTTGTGATCCGAGAGGTGCAAAGCATTAGGGAAATAAAGACAGGTGAACACATGGTGCACTGTAATGGCACTGTAAATGCAACATGCAGCAATTTGACACTCTCAGAAGAGAAATGAAAGAAGCACTCAACCTATTCTTGGAGATAAGCACTTAGAAAAAGATGGTGAAAATCTGTATTTTCTGTAGAATGCCTGCAATCTTAAGGGCTGTGAAGCTGATTTTTTTAAATAACAGAAAAGTACTTTTTGTACCTTCCATCCGT